GAGTGTATTTGATAGAATGAGAATTTGACTTTGATTGTTGAATGTAATGAATGAGAAATTATCAGAAGAGAACAGTTTTGGTGATAAAAGCTATGAGAGCGATTGAAACAGCTCGGAAAAGAATGATAATCCTGTTAAAACCATTGAAAACCTTGTTAGACCCTTATGAGCTGATGATATTCAGAAAATAGGAGGATAGAGAGTGTTGCCATCAACTAACCGCATTTACCCCAGTTAAAAAACACCATCACAATAGTGTTCTATCATGAAATAACAACTGCACGAAATACTAATTTCGCGATCCCCTCCACTACCCCTTGACGCCTCCAAATTACCCAAAATGGGTAATTTGTCCACCTTCTATGAGATCCACTGCTCCGAACGATGTATGGGTTCTGAACTTGTATATATTCCAGATTCGAGAATAATGCCAGTACTTGAAATATTCAAAGGGAAGACTCCGTTTTTCAGTTGATCTGGATGATCATGAATTAATACTGTTTGCCTCTAGTATTATGAACGGAACTAACAAAACATACAGTGCTTTATTCGTTCATTCTCTGCTAATTGCTACATTAAAAGCATCGAATCTGAGCTTCTCAATGAGTTAAATGACTGCATAATATCGATAAACTAAGTCGAACTAGACGCTGTCATCATGTCAGGTTTTGTATGAACCAACCCATTGTTTTGCGAATAAGATAGAGTTGATCAACATCGGAACGTCCCGGCCATATCGCCTCACCAGTGATCATCTCAGCAAAAACACATCCTATCGCCCAAACATCCACCGGTGGACCGTATTGAATATCACCGACCAGTAATTCTGAATGTGCAAATACTCTCATAAACTTAACGAACAGATATCATTTCAAAGATTACAATAAAGCAGAGTTAGTTAAAAATTACAGTTAGTTAAAATTGTTAAAAATAGCTTATTACAGAAGTAATGCTATGCTCACTGTGAAAAACAACATTCACATCATTCTAACAAGTTGATTTCATAAGAGAATTTTAAAAATTCAATTCAGAGCTGGGTCGGGATTCTCGAAAAATCTGAAGGATTTGAACTAAAGATGAGTATTTCATCGAAGCAATAATCAGAAAGATTCCATACCAGGACTTCTATACCATCTTGTCGCCACATAGTCCGTATAGAGATCGTTCGTATCTAAAATAGCAGATTCGATTGAATACGCTCGAATCTATCACCAAATCATTTTGATCTGATTTCAGATCAAGTGAATGAATGGATCTGATAGTGACCAAAAAAATGAATTCCTGTAGTTTTCTTGGAAATTTCAGTGGGAGTTGAAATTCTAACGGGCAAATATCAACCAACTTATAATTCGAGCGAAACCAAAATCGGCCAATTTAACCACATCGTTGCGTGTCAAAAGAATGTTCTCCGGTTTAACATCACGGTGTATGCAGTTGTGTGCGTGACAGAATTGTACGGCTTGTAAGAGCTGATAAATTGTCTTCTTTATCAACGTTTCTGGACATCTGAAATCAGTTCAATTTGTCGAAGACCAACTGCAATGTAACACACCAACAATGGACATTCATCGAGACTTCTTCATTCCAAGAGAACTGAACCTTGGCGCATCTCTCCGTGACCATTTCAGACAAATATCACTTCATTTAGGTATAATATCACTCAAGTGTTTCGCATTTCTCATCGGATCAGAAGGGAGTAATGAAGAGAAACAAAATTTCCATACGTACAGCGAAATCGCTCACCCTTTGGGGTATTTCTCAAGATCATGAAGCACCGTACGATCACAGTGCTCGAAAACAAGATGCAATTTACGATTCCGCTTGAAAACTTCAATTAAATTCACCAAATTCGGATGCTTGAGTTGCTGAAAATAAAGGGGAAAAGCTTTCACAAGAACGGATGGAATGTAAAAATAGAGCAGTTTGCAGAATGAGTTCAGTTGCTTTCAAGTCAACCCGAAATATCTCCATTCAAACAATTCCTTTGAAGTCTAAGTTTGAATGATAGATTCGTGGAATTCGCGTGTATCATTTGCATGATTGTTCCATGATTGTCACACAATAAGCGTGTGTTAATGATTTCTGACTATGCATTTCCATCTAATTTCTTGTTTGTTTCATCTTTATTTCGTTTTAAGTCTTCGCCTCAGTTTTCTTACAGTTCACATAGAAGTCGATTTTACTTTTGTCTGATTCATCACTCAAGCATTAAATTAAATCAACTCAGGCATATAATTTAGCAGTGTGAGTTTGAGCATGTGTGAATGGTATGAATAATCAGTTACCTTCAGCATGCGTATTTCCCTTAAAGCAATTTTTTTGATTGCTGGATCGTCTTCTGTTTCGACGAATTTCTTTATAGCCACTAACTGAAAATGATTTAATACTAATGACTATCATCGTCAGTATTAACTGCTCTGAGTTCGCAGTTTTTCAAATGTTACGTCCATCACCGTTCCACATCCTTCCGTTCACCTTGTAATAATTTGAGAGATTATGACAGAGTTGAGATCAGACTAGGAAGTTTTCAAGTAAGCTCGATATGATGCGTTTGAGAATTAATCTTACAACTTAACGATGAATTTTCGATGGCTTTCTTTACAGATTGGGTTTTATGAATGCAGCTAGAAAGGAATTAAAAATTCAGCGAATATTTTTCGCTGTCAAAGAATGGAATAGAAATTTTTTTCTGATTGTTAGGATGTGAATTCGATGCGAATTTCTTGCAAAAGAAAAAGTGTGTGCATTTTGTGTGACTGATTCAAGCTTGCGAACACGTTAAGTTTTTTTTGGATCGTGAAATGGTGTGTACAAAATCAGACTTTTCCTTTATTCATGTAAACGACTCGAATTTCATTTGATCAACTTTTATAGATAATAAATTTCGTTTTGATCTACTGGAAAAAAAATTCAAAATAATCTTATAATTTTCNGACTAATACTTGATATTTCCACTTGCTAAGCTAATGAAATATAACTGAATGACGTATATCAAAAAATTTCGAGTCTATTTTCGTGTTGAAGTTCAACTGAAATCGAACTATTATATGAATGAGCAGAATGAACAAACAGAACTTATTCTACTTATGGTTAATCCGTTCCATCTCGCATTCTGTAAGCGATAAGTAAAATTTCCAAAAGTTCAACAAGTATGTCATATATTATATTGACTCATCGAGCTAACAACATCGGTTCTTGATGTTTTAATCGGTAAACACCAATCAGATTCTGCACTTCATGCTGTAGCAGAACGGCGACACCATAAGGAGTTTTCAAATAGACGCTGATTATGAATTGGTTTCATGTTTTTCATCAAATCAAAGAACGAAAGTACTTCATAGCTTTTCATTAGCCGAGCGAGTGTGAGGAAATACACCAACCATCACATCAGCGTTTCATTATAACTTCTCAACGGCGTGAGAGAAACCAGTAGTGTCCTAGACCGTTGTGTTTTCATGCAATGGCCTTTCATGCAATCGATTATGATTGCATGAAAAGCTATTGTCTGTCACATGCTCACTTCATACTGATTCAGATGGATTCTCATTCTTTTTAGACGTGTTGTCTTCACTCT